TATCCTTTTGCTGCATTCATTTCTGCTTGGAGTGCGCGATTTACCATGCTCCCGGGAGGAAAGGGGGGGGGGGGGGTTGTAACTTTTCAATGGTATATTTTTTACCGTTTATGAACTCGCCAAGGAAGGCTCGTAGCCCCGTCAAATTGTTGAAAACTAAGTTTTACTTCGGACTCCAGTATCATCATGTTAAACGAGTTGAAAACTGAATAACACATTACAATATAATTTTATATGGAACGCAAACACAGATAATTCAACAATGTAATTTTAAATATTGATGTCGGTGCGCTAGCGCGGACGGGCACGTACCCTAAATACGTTGCTGAGGAATTGGTGTCTGTAGAACTTCGAAAAGATATCATTTCAAAACTTCCTTGCTCCAAGAACCGTTTAAGGTATTTCTATAATGTGACTATAGAAATGTTATTTACGTTCAAAACGTAATATTTTTCTTTTATACTGAATAACTTTTAAGCAAAGCTTTAACTTGTACCGCAGTCAGACCGGCTCGGTTGAAAAGCTGGAAAGGGTTCGGCCGTGCAACCACTACAAGCGCGGCATGGTTACGGATTGGTAACAAGTTCAAACTGCTGGCTCCACCTACACGTTGGCAAAGCTCTGATCTTTTTAATGTCAAGAAGCAAAACAAACAGCTGACCGTCTCGTCGGTCCTCTCATCGACCGAGCATGTTGTTACTTTTAGGCAATCTGGTTTCTATGGCACAACGCATTTCTTTAGAGCAAAGCTGAATGTGTCCCGGCGATGAGGGGCCGGGGAAATGGGAGGGGGGATACTGAGATGCTAGAGCTGTGGTGGGAGGTAGGGGGGGTTGCGTGAGGACTTCAGAACTGGTAAAAACGGAGAGCGCTAAGAGGCCCGCGTCGCGCGAAAGAGGAGTAAAAAGAGTGCGCTCTGGGCGCCTCTCCTTAGCTCTGCCGTGTGATCCCTTGATGCAAAAAATGGATATACGACGACTGGTTCAATGAGCACAAAGCTTCCACCGCACTGTCAACTTAAGGCTGGTATAGCTACTAATAGGTACTGTTGGCCCGAGCCGCCCGAGCTGCTCAAACGAGTCGGAAGTTGACTGCGAAAGAACACTCAATCGCCACACGTCGGCGATACTGTAGCCCTGCGCGGACAACAGTTTGATTATCCGCGTCCGTTCCGCATCCGCAGACTTTGTATCCGTATCCGAGCCGCATCCGCAAAATGTTGAACCACATCCGACTCAGTCCAGGCATTCATTGTATATCATAACATCAAGCGTGAGTGAAGAACAAAAATACTAATAGCACTTTTTAGGTTGTTTGCTTATCTTTGCACAAAGAAATCGTCTGATCTCCATACAAAGGGGATGTCATTTTATCATTATCAGTTTCATTGCATTCATATTAAAAGCGATCAGCCTTCCCGAGGCACTGCGCGTCGAAGGTAAAATGATCTCAGTTATGTGACCGTCCTCGGAGTCTGCGACACTGCCCAGAAGAAGCGTACAAAAAGGATATATATTTTTTTCTACTTTGTAACATATATTTTATGCAGACGCGTACTTTTGAAACATAAAATTTAAGAAGGCGTTCTAAATTAGGGCATTTTGGTTCTGTCAAACAATTGAAAAGTAAGAGAGATTGATATTCGTTCGGCTACGACGCCCTGGCGTCGTAGTTGGACGGATATGAACTATCAGACTTTTTGACTAGGACTCTGAGCATACAAAAAAGAAACACACAGGCAGTTTATGGGCTGCCTATGTACGTGCGCTGCTGATTCTGAAGCTTTACGAACCGTGGCGCCACAAGGTCGCGCTCGCGGTCGAGGCACTTTTGTTCTTGGAATCATGGCCACACTACTTTGCGGAAAGGGGGAGGTTTCTTCTACTTTGTCGTGACTTCTACGTTTGAGGTTTTCCTTGCCTGGAGAAAATTTTCGCTCTTTCTTACCAATGAACTAGCTTTCTCGAGACGATTAAAGCCCTGCATTCTTTACTTTTTCTATAGATAACATTTTTGGAGAGAGGCAACGCTTTGGCTGAAGCGACCTTCAGTGAGAGTCAGATCTTTCCTAGGATTCCTATCGTTTCTTCGAAGCGCGTTTTGTAAAAAAACGTTTTGCGAACAAATTTTCATGAACATAAATTTCGTGGACACACGCTTTGTCGACGCTGTGCGTTTTGTGGGCACATGCGGCTAAGATGTTTTGTCGACAACGCATTTCTTCACTAAGCCGCTAAAAGCTAGCGTGCGATTCACTAAGACGTGCTTAACCAAACCGTGCCCTCCTCCCCCCTGTAATCCAGGCGAGACGCAAAAAGTTTGTTTCAAAAATAGCAGGGTTGTGTGCGACGAAACGTCTTAGGTTTTTGGGTGCAAAAACACGAGAAGCTTTTCGAACATGTCGCATGTTGACGAAACGATCTGTACATGGAACGTCAGTCGGCGAACTGAATGCCACAGGGCAGAAATTTAGATCAGGATCCGCTAATATCCGCATTAACAGCCCCTGACATCCGCATCCCATCAGCAATCCGTCAAAATTTGTCTAATTTTTATCCGCATCCGCCCGTTTGCTTCCGAAATCCGCGGGTAATCCGAGGATATGCAGGGCCCGATACAGCACGCGAAATTCCAGATGTGAAGTACGGAAGCAATACGAAAGATGCTCGCTTTTTTTAGTATGTCAAAATGGTGAAAAGGGAGGCAGGAGACCCGATTGGTACGGGTTGAAAGCGGTCTCAGGCTTCTTAGTCGACCCCTCCCCCTCTTGGCTACGCCACTGAATATAGTAAGTAGCGAAACATATTGAAACATTACGATACACTGCTAACCGCGCTGACTTCATCCGAGAGTTGTGACTGTGATCAGCAAGTATCGAGCTTTTCCTAGGCAGACGCGCATCTTCATGCACTGATATATTACGTATATTCTTTACTGAGTTACATTTAATATATTCACCGCGGGCTAGCGTCGAGAGCATCCCCAAAAAACGTTTGCAAAATTTTTGACAAAAAAAAAAAAAAAAGAAAAAACTGGGCCTCCCCACACGCAGTTTCCGCCAAATTGTAGCCCTTCCGGCCAGGACCGGAGGCCAATTTGTTATAAGCAGCCGTTATCTTATCACATGTTTTAGGTGGTTTTTAAAAGTTTCAATAGCAAAATGCGGCCCGTACCCGGTCGTTGAGGCCATTCCATGCATTCCTGGGCTTCGACGGCCGTCATGTTTCCTATGCTTTTGTAGACTGAGGGAGGGAAGGAGATGAGAGCGCACGGGGATCTCAAAATGCCGAGCTCTGGTTGGACTGATTTGTTGACAGACCTGACGCTAATGACTTTCGTCGTCACTGCACTCATCGAACGTGCTCGAATGCGAGAGCCAAACGTCGGACGCCGGCGTTCTGACGCCTTTGACGCGTGCAGTGGAGATAAAGGCAGCTAGCTTTAGGTTCGCACATTAATCATACCAACAAAGAACTCGGCGTTCTGAGATCCCCCCATGCGCTGCCGTCTCCTTCTCTTCTTCAGTTTCTCGGCGCATTGGTAAATGTTGAAAGTAGCTTAATCATACAGAAAACAGCAAGCATTGAAGCTGAAATATGGTCCGGACCATTAGAGCCACATTTGTACGGAAATTGAGCTTTAGGCGATGCGTAGTTTGTTTCAGAGCGGAGCTCTTAGGCGCCCGTTTCCGGCTTGAGCAGCGTTGCCGTCGCCGTCGCCGTCGGCGTAACCGTGAGGTCACGTGACCCCCGTGAGGTCACGAGGGTCCCGTAACGTCACGATTACGCCGACGACGACGGCGACGCCTTCGCCACTTGTAGGGAAGGGTAGCAGGCAGTATGAGAAGGTGAGGAGGGGGAGAAGGGGTATACTAGGGTATACCTTCCCCTCAGTACCCTTCCCTCCTCCTCCTCAAGAGCTGCGCTCTAATTCGGCGTTACAAGGAGTTGTGAACGGCTTTCATTTTTTTTTTCAGTGAAGCTAACTCTGTATAGTGTTTTGTGTTTTTTTTTTTTTTTTCGGGGGCACTCTGGGCATTTTGCGACAGAATTTTCGCTCACACGGCATCGGTGTTTTTAGAATTTTACATTGAAAAGAAGTTTATACCGCTTATGGCTATTCCCAAATGTGCGCTTTCTATCGATGTTGTGCCCGTTACAAATTACCGTTACTTTCAATCCCTAACGAACATCAGTTTGGTTTCATTTAAGATTTTCTGGGTTCGGCAGCGCTAAACCGCAGCTACAGACTTCGACAGGAATTAAACTTTTGCACAAAATGCTTACTATAATTGTATGCTTAATTTGTGAAATATGATGGATATAGCGGGGTCCCGATGGGGCCTTGTCTCTTTAAACAAAGCACAAAACGTGATTAATTATACTCAAACGTGGTGAGCAATGACTTAAGTAGTTTATGGACAACAACATAAATAGTAACGAAATTACTTTACACAATGAGCGTTTCAGATTTAAACCAGCACGCTAGTTTTGTAAAGAAGAAAGAAACTAAAGTAATGCGCTACCACTGACGTCTCTACTTGTAATACGTTCCCGCCACACCAGTTGTTTAGAATAATAATATTACTGTATGTATGTTTGTACAGCTGGGAGTTAGTCAACCTCATTCGGCGTCTTGTGTTTTAGCTATAGATAAAAAAAACTACCAACTGGAGTACATCTGTTAGCCTGGTGTCTTTTAGGTGCACACCACGGAGTAGTGATACACGATTGCATGCCGGTACGGAGCTCATGCAAATCCAAATGGGCGAGACTGGGCATTGAACCCAGACTTTTTGTAGGAGGAGCTGTCGCTACACGTCCGCCGACTTGACTAACCCCCTATATTTCAGATCACGTATGAAATCACGTATAAAATGAAATTTCAAATCCCGGTTCCCTTTAGCAGGTCCTCCTGCTAAAGGAAGCCAAAATTTATATGAGGTCCTCTGTTGTCGTTTCGAGGAGTGTACAAACCCTTACGCATATGTGTTTTTGCAGGAAGTTGATGAGCTAAGGAAGAAGTTAGCAACCTACGAAGCAACCATGATTCCCCCCGCCAACAAACCGATGGATCCTAGAGGTCTGCCGAAATACAACCACGGATTGTGGGCGCCTTGGGAATGACATCCTTTTTCTTCTTTTTTTTTTACGAAGATGCAAGAAGCAAACTTCCCAATAACGTGATAATGTGCACTTTTTTTATTTGTGTCCTTGCCGTTGCTTTTGTAATAACGTTATTGAACTGAAATATTCGTTGATTTTTTTCTATTCTTAATGCACGAAATATACAATAAATTGTTCATCATGACAGTCGAGTTTTTGTTGGCAAGAAGGAATATTTTTATAACACGTGTACTGAACACTTCTTACTGTACTAATTTGTGCTGGATATACTTTTGGTCGCTTGGCGTTTTAATATTTTAGTATTAAGAGGAGCACTATCCTATTGACAAAGGTCATTTGAAATTGAAACGGGTTAAAAACCAATCGACCCGTTCGGATCAAGCGTGATTACGGGATACGGGTACCCGTTTAAAGCGTTTCCCGTTAAATGCGGTACCCGCTTGATATGGGCGCCCGTTCGACATGGCACGTGCCCACGGATTTGAACGGGCCCTTTGAATACTCGGGCAGGTTATTTGTTAGCCTAAATGAGTACCGTCCGGAAGGTTGAATATATCAAACCAATTTAAGACGTATCAAATTTGATTAATCTATAAAAGCGTGGGCAAAACCCGCAAAGAAAATGTCCTCGCGCAGGTGTCTGCAAATAGGCGGGATAACAAACCTAAAATATTATTCTCAAATCTCATAGAAGTTATTACATCCAGCTCATTTCGTCGACAAGTAGAAACGTGCGAGCGATCTGTGAAATGTGAAGAAGTTTTACTAAGCTTTCATACAGCTTCGATTATTGCAAAACAAGAATCGGGGTAATTCTAAGCGATATTGTATATTCCCCTGGGAGCTGGTAAAATAATTTCCTCAAACTTCTAGTGGCAGATGCCTCTCACTGGGGGTGAAAATCAGTTCATCGAACGAGGTTATATTGACAGACAGTTTAATTGACACTGTTTCATTGACAGATTGTTTTATAGACAGCTATGATTAGCGTTCTCTTTTTTGGTAACAAGTCACCCCAGACTCTTGCCGCAAATGGCATGTAGGGCGGACCAGGTGAGTTAACATTTTTGTAATGAACCGTCGCAGAGTGTCGCCGCGGAACTGCGTGGACAGGTCGGCCGGCCGGGGATACGCACGCGAAAAAATGTTCCTCCAACGTGCACTTCGCGTAACGAGTGTTTGTGATATGTTAGTGTCAAAGAAACGTTTCGATAAAACCTGTATTCGCGAAGTTTTCTATGAAATGTGTCTCCATAAAATTCAGGGAGAATGAGAAAGTTACAAGCTGCATTCTACCGGCAGCTGTCTAATGATTTCAGCCAGCTAATGGGAGACAACTGCCGGAAGAAATACGGGGAAATTATTCTCCCGCGGCCGTGAAAATAGGGGCTGCCTAATTATATAGATAATCCGGATTACTTTCCGTAAAAGAACTTTCATTCATTGCCAAAAATAAGGTTGCCGTGCACTTCAGGTAAAGTAAAGCGTACTTCAAAGATGTAATCCGAAATATATATCGACATGGGCACTGCGGAACAACCACAAATACATAGAAACAAGAAGAAAAGGCTCGGGAACGATTCAGCACGATGTTCCACAAGCTGTCATTTGCCGAACCGAACCACCACAAGAACCTCTGACTTGTTTCAAGAAATCGCTTGTTGCCGACATACGCGCAGGACTTTTCGATTGCTGATAGTTTTGGTACACTTCGAATACGTTGTCACGTTGCCAGTGAAATACACACAGAGTTTCCAGGTAGTTTCTAGCTCAAACTGTCAAATGCCGGACGATCTAGCCCAAATGTAGCCATAATTAAGATATGTACTTAGCCCACAACATTAGGAGCTCGAATATAAAAGCTTAAGGCGAAGCACAGCGTCGGCATCTCTACGTTTTATGTGCAGCCTGCAAAGATCTATGGCATCTGGAAATGTATTGAAAACGTTTTATTTTAAATATTAATAAGTCGAAAATTTTTCACACCCGTTTTTACGGTCATGTAGTTATGAAACACTCCCTCGTGCTCAGTTGACTCCCCTCCTACATGATTTCCTTGTTCCTACAGGCAAAAAAGTAGTTAGCAGGGCTGACGTCCTTACAGCACTTGTTATTCCCAAGGCAAGCGTAGTTTGCATAGAAGATGTTTTAAAGAATTTGAAGGTACATCCTGTTTCTTAGGTCTGACTTTATGAGGTACAAATGACTGAATACTCTCTCCACGGCGGAATTCGACATGGGCAGAGTCAAGAGCGCGGTGGAAAGCCCGGACAGCAAGGAAAACATGACTCCTCCCGCGCTTCGAAGTTGGCCTTGTTCGGATTATTCATTGTTCTAAATCTGGTGTCCAATGTTATGGCTCATTGGGCTTTAAGAAACTTCCATGTTTCGCGGAAATGCCTCCTTTGATATATTCAGTATATCTCGAGTAATCTGACAACATAAAAGTGCTAGATGTCTTGAGTTGCCTTTAGTGTTATTTCTCCTTGAAAAAGGTGCCTCCCGTAGAAAGATGATAAGAAACTCTAAGAAATGAGACGCCAGTAGAAAGGCGAAAGGACTTCGGAGCATAAGATAAACCACAATGAATACAAAAACGATGTCTTCGGAGCTGAATCTAGGTCACGGTAGCTTATTTGAGTTAATAGGATCTTGCGTCACGCCCACGGATCTTACATCTTGAAAGGGGGAATCCGCAAAGGTTGGACTGATGCTCTTGTTCATGCTGAAGTGAATTTGTAAAACTACTCTAAATTAAGAAAAAGAAAACATTGCCGCGTTAGGATTTGAAATAGCCTCAAAAAAGCCACATAGCCACCCAACAAATGTCGGCGCCAAACGCAGTACAAAGTGGCAAAATTTGGCTATTCATATCCCAACCTGGTAACCGTTGTTGCACGGATTCCCCATAAGACGCAGCTAAGAGTTGAAGGCGAGGGAAAGCAAGGCTGGGGAGGAGGAAGCAGATGAATTGCTGGAAAGGAGAGGAGGAAACATCCCCCTCCCTCCAGCATTCCGCCTGCCTCCTCCTCCCCAGCCTGCAAAGAAGGCTCTCCTTCAAGGTCGGAAGGGAGTGCGCTCACAAGAACCTTAACTTCAAGGAGCATCCCGAAAATGAAACAGCGATATGATTTGGCACATATATCTTTTTGTGAGTTCGTCCCAAAATTAATAGTGCAGTGGATGCCATGTGAGTGGCCTACCAAGCAGCGGCCTTCGGGCAGGTGCCGTTCGCTCTCTTACCACCGGCTTGGACTCTATAGCCACGTGACCGTAACCAGAGACACGATTCTCCTTGAATACGCATAGCGTCCAATCTGCTGGCAATACCAAGTAAACCGGACAGCTGCACGAAGGCTAGCTTTTGGAGTTGAACCGTTGATGAAAGACGCAGTGTAAGGTAAGCCGAGCGTTTGAACGGCTTCGCGGGCGCTCGAAGTGCAAAATATTTTCGAAGACAAAGCAGCGTCTTGTCTCTTCAGCAAGCTAACAGTGCTAGAGAGCGCCGCACTCACATTTCAGCAGAGCGACCACGCTCGGCTAAATCCTGGCGCAGTCGGCTCTCGCGTGGCGATAGCTACGTCGTCGCTCATGCCTACACTGGTGCCATGTGCACTGACATTCAAAACAGCTTTCTCGAGACTGCATGCGGATGAAACAGGAATGCCCGTGTGCCGCCTCTCTCCACTTCAGTATCAAACGGGTTCACCGCTCAACGGGGGAGCCGTTTTGTTAAATCTTTGCTGTTTGACGGTCACCGGTCATCTGCTTGTACAAAATGGCCACCCATTTCAACAAAGGGGCGACCCGCCTGCTCAGACGAGTGACCCGTGTGCGCAAAGGATTGACCCGTTTGACCAAACAAGTAACCCATTCGCCCAAACGAGTGGCCCGTTCGCCTAGATGGGCGTCCGGTATGCTCAAACGGGTGACCGTTACGACTCAGAGAGGTGACCCGATTGGCAAACGTGCGACCGGTAGGGCTAGAGTGTTGTCGGTATGAACCCACTTACGTTAGTACAGGAGCTAAATTATATTTTTAGTAGGGTGAGAAAATAACGATCTAATAAATCGGCGTGTCTTACAAAATAAGTAAACAATATATATATATATATATATTCTTTTTTTTAATTTGCAAACTTTGGGAGAAGTCAAGGTAGCTAGCTGCCTTCACAGTTGGCATTTTTTTTTACAGAGGTATGTTAGCTCCCTCTTAAAAACCCCGCATAAATATCTCGTGGGTTTGTATAAATTTTATACGAGCCTATTGAATACAGGAACCTCTACACGTATACGGGACCCACATTCACAAGAACAGGATTGGGTATAGCTGTATAGGATCTGTATCTGCATTCAGGATCCCGTATAGCTATATAGAATTTGTATACACCTACAGCTCCCATCTATATACTGAGACATTGTGGTCGGTTTGCCTTGATGCGTACCCGACCTGGAGGAATAATACGGAACCAGCGGTTTCAAAAAAAAGAAAATACATTTAAATGAACATGGACGAGACGATCAATACACTAACATCGTTACCGGCAGCGCTTGAGTCCGGACAGCAACTATTTGCGCGCCGCTTATTTATTTTATCAAGGCAGCGCGCGGGATGTGGGCGTGGCCACCTTGAATTCGCCGCCAGGCGGGGAAGTCCGTCGCCTGTGCACCGTCGTCTGGCAGCAACTGGGCTGGGGAGCCACAAAAGTGCCCACACTCCCCCCCTCCCCTCCCCTCTCACATTTCGTCCGACATGTTGATCATCATTGTGGGCGTCAGCGGGTGCATGGCGCTGCTGATCGGACTGGCGTAGCAGGTGCGGTCGGAGTCGCTGACGAGTACGATGGCCCGTTCGAGATCACCCTTGCCGAGTCTTGATGTGCACAATGCGTTCAACGTCCGCCGTCTCTCCATAGCAAGCAGGCAACAGCCAGGCCGGGCCAGCAGAGTGAGAGCCCACGGTTCTACCCTATCTTGTGGTAAATCGGTAAAGGGCGAAC